TCTTTCAGTCGTGTCCAATTCTTTGTGACCCCATGGACTGTAGCCCTCCAGGCTCCTCCATTCATGGGATTTTCCAGACAAAAATACTGGAGTGGGTTGCAATTTCCTTCTCCAGGGGATCTTCCTGACCCAGGGACAGAACCCAGGTCTCCAGCATTACAGGCAGACTCTTTACCATCCGAGCTACCAGGGAAGGCTTTAATATCAGGGAAGCAAATCCAGAACTGGGTCTTTCCCAGTGTCCTCTAAACACCAGATGTATGCTCTGAAGTTTTTTCTCCAATATATATGACATTTATAAAAACTTCTGAGGGTTAAGGAAAACATCATCTAGCAAATTTCACTTTCTGCTGTCTACTAAAAGTCATTTGCTCAGTGTGAATCCCAAGCATGACTGAGGCCAGGATTAGTGCCTGAGAACCAAAGTCCTTAATTAGAGTTTACAATCTTTTCCAGCTCTGATAAGTGGTTTTGATAAACAGTTGCTTAAGAAACACACAGTTAGCTATATTTTCAGTTCTAGGACAAAAATACCTCCAACAACAAATTCTGCAAATCCTGCCCCGGTGCACAAAAATAGATTCAACCTAAGTCAAAGGGCTCCCTCTCCACCTCTGAGTCCTTCACCTGTAACCTGTGCTGACCTAACCTCAAGCTTCCATGCATTCTGCTCCCTGTACTAGGAAACTGCCACCACCTCTTCAACACGTGAAAGATTCTCAAAGGGAAACCAATCTATATTGTATATACCTGTGTTACAAAGCATGCATGCTAATTAAAGGGATTTTCTGTGTTAGCAAGCAGGTTAGGGCCTTGGGGGTTGTTGGTGTAGGAAGGCTTTAAAAGGCAATCAGATTTAGTCAGAGTGTGAAGATGAGGTCCAAACTGTTAATCAGTCAGTCATGCTTGACTCTCTACGAGCCCATGGACTGCAGCCCACCAAGCTCCTCTGTCCACAGGATTTCCCGGGCAAGAATACTGGAGTGGGTTGCTATTTCCTTCTCAAGGGGATCTTCCGTCCCAGGGATCGAAACCTGGGTTTCCTGCATTTACATGCAGATTCTTTACTGACTGAGCTAACTAAGGAAGCCCAATCAGATTCAGTCAGAATGTGAAGTTCAGTTCAGTTCAGAAGTCACTCAGTCATGTCTGACTCTTTGCTACCCAATGAACCACAGCACGCCAGGCCTCCCTGTCCATCGCCAACTCCCAGAGTCCACCCAAACCCATGTCCTTTGTGTTGGTGATGCCATCCAACTGTCTCATCTTCTGTCGTCCCCTTCTCCTGCCCCCAACCCTTCCCAGCATCAGGGTCTTTTCAAATGAGTCAGCCATTCTCATCAGGTGGCCAAAGTATTGGAGTTTCAGCTTCAGCATCAGTCCTTCCAATGAACACCCAGGACTGATCTCCTTTAGGACGGACTGGTTGGATNATCTTCTGATTTCATGGCTATAGTCATCATCTGCAGTGATTTTGGAGTACAAGAAGAGGGAATCTGTCACTATTTCCACCCTTTCCCCTTCTATTTGCCATGAAGTAATGGAGACCCTGGTTCCTAGTTCGGGAAGATCTACTGGAGAAGGGGTAGGCTACCCACTGCAGTATTTTGGGGCTTCCTTGGGGGCTCAGCTGGTACAAAATCTGCCTGCAATGCGGGAGACCTGGGTTTGATCCCTGGGTTGGGAAGATCCCCTGGAGAAGGGAAAGGCTACCCACTCCAGTATTCTGCCCTGGAAAATTCCATGGACGGTATAGTCCATGGGGTCGCAAAGAGTCGGACATGACCAAGTGACTTTCACTTTCAGCAATAATAAAGTGGTAATATTTCTTATTACTAATATTACTTAGTGGAAGGGAAGTTCTAGAGGATGGGCTCATATGTATACCTATGGCTGATTCATGTTGATGTGTGGCAGAAACTAACACAGTAGTGAAAAGCAATTATCCTCCAATTAAAAATTTAAAAAATTGGAATCATAGAGGGAAACTGTTTCGTATTTATAACTTCCATAAACTAAAAAATTTTTAAATAAAAAAATAAAATGTAGCTGCAATATAAAAAGTGATTACTTAGTAAAAGGTCACTGAAAGTCTTATTTATAATTCTCAGAGATACATGTGTTGTGAATTTCCCAGGAATGCTTTAATAGGCTAGTTTTCTATTTGAAATCAGTTATCAAAATGTAGTCAATATTTTCATAATGACAGTCCTCTATGAGTCAACATATGTTATCATTTTTTGCCAGTAACTTCATTAAGAATTGGTGGAGCACCTCCTAAGTAAGTGTCTGCCATTCAGTGATGACCAAACTAGCCAAGCCCAGAGGAGGAGAATCAGCCACAGTCATCTCACTGTATTCAGGGTCTAATCTGTAGAAATCCAGCACATTCCCTTCTGTAATTATTCTTAATAATGTAATTTATTCTGGAGTAAAGCTGTGACCACTTTCAGTTAAGACATTGAAAAATAAAATGTAAAAACACAGCCTTAGATTTCACTTGACAATTTATCTGTACGTGTAAAATAAGAGTACTTTAAATACGTGCCCCAGTTTTCCAGTTACTCAGGTTACAGTGTAATTTACAGTTTTCTTGATGAATACTCCATACTCAAAAAGAATGGATAGGTCTTAATGTCCATTAAAGGTACTTTAGTCATTTTCACTTTTATGGTATTCCATGCGAGACCCCGTGCTCCATGGAAGCAATGATCATCCCCTTGAAATTTCCTTCTCCTAAAACAGTGCCTCCTGCTGAGCGGTGCTTAGTAGTCACTGAGTAGATTATTCTATTGGAAACGTCCCTTAACTTCCTACCCAGAGTTTTCTTCAGGTTCAGTTTAAGTCCTTGCACTCTCTAAAATACCCTCACTTATGTAGATAATCTGCTTAATATGGTGTATTATTAAGGCATTACTTGGCAACTAATTTGTATATGTTTCAGAAACTTTTGCCTTAAATATATTTTCATTGTATTCCTGTTACTCCTTAACTTATGTTCTGTTAACTCCTGTTTTTAAGCCCCTACACCCAAACACATTTAAGACATTCAGATGTATGTGTGTGTATTAAATTATCTCATGTAAAATAGGTGAGTGATTAATCATGGTTATATTTATTCATTCAACAAAGCATTTATGGAGGTCCTGCTTAGTTCCTGGCATTATTTTGGGAATAGCTAGTAGAGCGTTAGATAGACAAGCATCCCTGTGTTCTTGGAGCTTATTATTTACCAGCAAGGGATAATCAAGCAAAGAGATAAATGAATACATAAGGAATACTAGAATATCAGGTACTGATCAGTGCCATAGCAAAAATAGTTGTGTGCAAGGGTCTGAGCAGAGGCTAAGACATAAAAAATAAAAAGAAACAGTTGATGATGGCCTCTTTGAGGAGTTTGATCTAAGACCTGAATGGCAGGTTAAGATCCTGTTATAGAAAGGTTTGAAGGAAGAGCTGTCAAATTATTGAGCTGAAATGAGTTTAATATGTTTGTTTGAGGGTAATGATGGAGAGCACTGCTATTTTGAACATCAGGGATGCTGGCTCAGCAGTCAAGAATCCACTTGCAATGCAGGAGATGTGGGTTCAATCCCTGGGTCGGGAAGATTCCCTGGAGATGGATATGGCAACCCACTCTGGTATTCCTGCCTGGGAAATCCTGTGGATAGAGGAGTTTGGAGGACTACAGTCCATGGGGTCTCAAGAGTTGGACATGACTTAGTGACTAAACCACCTCCACTACAGGAGAAAATGGTATCAAGAATATATTTCAAGGGGCTTCCCTAGCAGTCCAGTGGATATGACCACCTTCCAATGCAGGGAGTATGTGTTTGATCCTTGGCTGGGGAGCTAAAACCCCACATGCCTCTCAGCCATAAAACCAAATCCTAGAACAGAAGCGATGTTTTAACAAAATTCAACAAAGACTAAAAAAAAGTGATCCACATGAAAAAAAATCTTAAAGAGTCAATTGTTTTGAATACTGTTGAGAGGTCTAGTAAGATGGGAAAGAAAACTGAGTTAACAGTAGGGGAGTTCCAGTGATCCACAGGAACAGTTTTAGTGGTCTTCGGAGATGTGGACAGTCGCCTCAGAGACGGCGGACATGTGGTCTCCTTGGGGCAGGTTGAGAAGAAAAGAAATGAGAAATAGTAGAGACAGCAAAAGTTAGTCATTGCATGTTTTATTGAGAAAGGGAATGAAGAAGTAGAAGCTGGAAGAAGATTGGGGGTTAAAGGAGAAATTCTTTGATTATTTAAAAGAGAGTTACTAGGATATGCTTGTGGGCAATGGGAATAACCAAGTTTGGAGGAAGAGAGGAAGAAATTCAGGCAGCCACGAGAAGGTGAAAATGCAAAAGCAAATTCCTTGAAGAGTTAAAAGGGGCTGGCTCCCAAAGCACAAGTGGTACAGTTTTTGATAGATGCAGGCAAACTATAAATATATGAAGACCACTTGACAATACAGAAATACTTCTGCATTAAAGTGTTGAGAAACTAAAGCAGGCCAGGTGGAGCTACATGAAATTGCTGATTTGGGGCCATTTTTGACTTGTAAAAATACCACTTTTCTATGGCCCAGACTTACAATAACATGCTTACATAAAATAGCTTAGAATACACAAATTGAAATAGATGATGAGCTCATGAATGTTTTCTCTATGTTTTCACATAATTTTAAAACAAACATAAGGGAAACATTAAGTGTCTCAAATTGAATATTGCCTATTTCAGATTAGTCTTTAGGTTATGTCATAACAAATACTGAATAAAACAAGGACAGAATTATATTCATGTAATTGTTCTAGTTTTATCTGAGCCTCTGTGTTCTAGTCTAAAGGATTAAAACATCAGCTGTGTACTTAAAGATTCCTTAGGATCTTTGTTTCTGAGTGATTTGGATGTAAAAAAAAATTAAATTGAATCCATGTGTTTTGTAAGATTTATCTTTAGTGGTGTGTCAATTTGCCTAATTGTTCATATTTTCTTTTGTCCCAGGCTTATTTATATTTATCTTCCACTGTGCTATGAAGGAGAATGTTCAGAAACAGTGGAGGCGGCATCTCTGCTGTGGTCGATTTCGGTTGGCAGACAACTCAGGTAAAGGGGCATGTTGGTGATCGAGCTTCTGACATTAAGAGTGTGGTCAGAAGCGTTTGTCATCTGGGCTCCCCAGGTGGCTCAGTAGTAAAGAATCTGCCTGCCAATGCTGGAGACAGGTTCGATACCTGGATCGGGAAGTTCCCCTGAAATGGCAACCCACTCCAGTATTCTTGCCTGGAAAACTCCATGGACAGAGGAGCCTGGCGGGCTACAGTCCATGGGGTTGCAAAGAATCGGACACACTTAAGCGATTGAGCACACACACATTTGCATTGTCCCAGCAGCCTAGAAACCAGTGGTAGCAAGGTGTAAAGGTGGAGTGTGTAAAGATGCTTAGTTGGAATCTTAGATTATTAAGACTGCACGAGATCTGAGGACTTTGGACCTGACTGTTCTGTTTTGCAAAGGAGAAGCATGAGTTCCAGATAGGTTAAGTGAGTTGCTCAAGGTTTTATGTCTAATTTAACTACTTGGATATCCACTATACCCTATATACCTGTCCATATTTTTGAAGTCTTCATGTGCATTATTAGACAAAAGAGATTTTTCTCAATATGAAAAAAAATCCCTGAAGAAAAATACTACTCTTTTAAAAAAAACCTCCAGTGGTTACTTCTCAACCTGAAGATATTAAGTAGAATCTTAAACATGAGGTCAAATTAAGAAACTTTTCTGTTTCTTCAAGTTGTTACTGTTGACATGTCCGTCTCTTGTATGAGTCACTGGCAATGTGTCAGAACATCTGATGTTATGAATCAGTTACTTAAATAATGTGGTGATGATTTTTCAAGGCAAGGTGTGCGCATGTGTGCTAAGGCAGTTGTGTCCAACTCTGTCACCCCACGAGCTGTAGCCCACCAGGCTCCTCTGTCCATGGGATTCTCCAGGTAAGAATACTGGAGTGGGTTGCCATGCCCTCCTCCAGGGGATCTTCCCAACCCAGGGTTCGAACCTGCATCTCCTGCATTGCAGGCAGATTCTTTACTGCTGAGCCCAGGGAAGCCCTCAAAGCAGACTATATCCCCTGTCAAGCAGACTCATGGAGAGATGTCATTTCTTTCAGACTGGAGTAAGACAGCTACCAATATCATCAAGAAGAGTTCTGATAATCTAGGAAAATCTTTGTCCTCCAGCTCCATTGGTTCTAACTCAACCTACCTTACATCCAAGTCTAAATCCAGCTCTACCACCTACTTCAAAAGGAACAGCCACACCGGTGAGTCATTCTGGCCAGAAAGGTGCTGGTAAAGATGCTCTCTGGGACACTTCCCGTCATGTTTTCATGGTGAGAACTGGCATGTCATAAAGATTCATAGATCACAGTGCCCATTAGGGTGCTTATTTTAGACTTAGGAAAATCAAAATTTACTTGCACCTTCAGCACCTTTGTGAATATTTTGTCCTTTTTTTAAGGCAAGGTGTGCGCATGTGTGCTAAGGCAGTTGTGTCCAACTCTGTCACCCCACGAGCTGTAGCCCACCAGGCTCCTCTGTCCATGGGATTCTCCAGGTAAGAATACTGGAGTGGGTTGCCATGCCCTCCTCCAGGGGATCTTCCCAACCCAGGGTTCGAACCTGCATCTCCTGCATTGCAGGCAGATTCTTTACTGCTGAGCCCAGGGAAGCCCTCAAAGCAGACTATATCCCCTCTCAAGCAGACTCATGGAGAGATGTCATTTCTTTCAGACTGGAGTAAGACAGCTACCAATATCATCAAGAAGAGTTCTGATAATCTAGGAAAATCTTTGTCCTCCAGCTCCATTGGTTCTAACTCAACCTACCTTACATCCAAGTCTAAATCCAGCTCTACCACCTACTTCAAAAGGAACAGCCACACCGGTGAGTCATTCTGGCCAGAAAGGTGCTGGTAAAGATGCTCTCTGGGACACTTCCCGTCATGTTTTCATGGTGAGAACTGGCATGTCATAAAGATTCATAGATCACAGTGCCCATTAGGGTGCTTATTTTAGACTTAGGAAAATCAAAATTTACTTGCACCTTCAGCACCTTTGTGAATATTTTGTCCTTTTTTAAAGAATTTACAGCCAAAATTGAACCTACATTGTCAGAGTATCATTAACTCAATATTTTTGTAACTTCATTTTCTTTAAAATTTAATTTTCCTAAAAAATTATGGTATCTTGTTTTTAAAAGTTATATCTTTATTTAAAAAATACAGAAATTGAGTTGCAGATTATTTCAGCATAGTATGACGGTTACCTGGCAAGTTGGAATGAAAACAGGAAGAGACTCCATCCAGCTTGTATGTGAAAGACTGAAGTCCTTTGAAATATACACAAATATTAAATCATGGTAGTGTATGCCTAAAACTAATAATGATATATGTCAATTATACCTTAATCAAAAAAGATACTTAAGTCCCTAACCATTGGAAGTTATACTGATGATTGCTCTCTACATTACTGATTAAATATGAAAGAGGGAACATTATGTTTGGAAAGTGATACAGATGATGAGAAACATTGTATCTTTATTCATCTACCAACTCTTCATGATATTTACAATGATCGCACATTTATTCATCTACCAACTCTTCATGATATTTACAATGATCGCACTTTCTGACACTGAGCCTGAAGACTATGAAAACACAGGCTGACTTCAGACATGCAGAGAATTTGGCTTCAGACCACCATAATATATTGAATATTGCAAAAAGAGAGTCACACAAATTTTTTGGTTTCTCAGTGCTTATTATATGCACAATGTATAAATATATGCTTATATGTTTACCCCATACCGCAGTCTATTGTGTGTAATACCATCATGTCAAAAAATGTACATACCTTAATTTTAAAAGATACTTTATTGCTGAAAAATGTGCTTGACTGTCATCAGGCAACACAAATCTTCGATTTATAAAAACTGCAGTGTGTGTGAAGGGCTTCAAAGTGAAGTGAAATAAAATGACATATGCCTGCAAAGACCATTTTGCAGTCCTTGATAGCCAGTGAACAATGTGAAAAGGTANCATATGCCTGCAAAGACCATTTTGCAGTCCTTGATAGCCAGTGAACAATGTGAAAAGGTACCCTCCTTTAATAATTTCAGTTGAAAATAACAGAAATGCTACTTTTAAATACTAATTAAACCTTAGTCAAACAACTCTCGACACTCGGTATCCAGCACTTTCTAAATGAAAGATGCTTATAAAAGATAATGGAAATGACTTTTAAATTTTGTATTTGTTTAGCTAATAAATGTAGGCAGAAGCAAATGGCACCAAAAACATTCATAATTGGCAAGAATGGAGTGATTTGCGTGATGTGTGTATAAATGTTCACATTAAAACACTTTCATTTCAAGTGACCCTTATGTACATTTGAATCTTTCCACATGTCCCTGCTTGCACCTCTCTGGTGCCCACTCCCTGGGATTCGAGATAGCACTGTGGAAAAGAAGTTTGAATGTTTAGAGAGTTTTTAATTCCAAAATTAGTCAAAGAAAGATCTGAAGGGCTTCCCTGGTGGCCCAGCAGTAAAGAATCTGCCTGCCACTGCAGGAGACGTGGGTTCGATCCCTGGTCTGGGAAGATCCCACGTGCCCAGGAGCAATTAAGCCCATGCGCCGCAATCATTGAGCCTGTGCTATAGAGCCCAGGAACTGCAACTTCTGAGCCCGTGTGCCTCAACTACTGAAGCCTGGGCGCCTAGAGCGCTCAGCAACAAGAGAAGCCCCTGCAATGAGAAGCCCGCGCACAACTAGGGAGTAGCCCCTGTTCGCCACAACTGGAGAAGAACCCAGCCAGCAACGAAGATGCAGTAAAGCCAATAAATAAATAAAATTATTTTTAAAAGTATCTGAAAACTTGGAGCAGCTTAGGACAGCAGTTCTTAAAGTTTCTTGGAGTCAGGGATACTTTGGGGAATTGAATAGAAGCTATGAACTCTTCCAGAATGGGGTGCAGTCTTTGAGTCCTGCCCACAAGCAGTTTTCCTTAAAATTAAGAGGCCTTTGCATTCTTGCCTGAAACACCTGTGTGAGAAACATGATAACAGGCGTATAATCTGAGATAGAGTAGTCTACCTAATTGGTTCCCTGGCACAAAATATTGTTTACAGTTAACTCTTGAACAAAACAGTTTGAACTGTGCAGGTCCACTTATATGCAGGTTTTTTTTAGTTCCAAATACAACAAACAGTATTCCATGACCCGCATTTGACTGAATACATGGATACAGGACTATGGACACTGAAGAAGCTCAGACACAGAGAGCCAATGTAAATTGTACTCAGATTTTCAGTCGTTCAGGAAGTCAGTGCCCCTAACCCCAACTATTGTGCAAACCTCTACTGTACTTAAAATGAGTGAGTTTTATACTTTATTAAATCAGCCTTAAAATTAGATACTCATTTTGTCTCCCCTTTAAAATCCAAATGCTTAATGCATTATAAGTTAGTTGTGAATGCATAGGAATTAGCCCAATTGAATTATTTTCCTGTTAATATAACTGAGAATAGCTAGCCTGAAAAACTGCTATTAAAATGGTAAAGAAGATAACAGGTAGATATTTTGGAACAGAGGGCATTTTGAAAGTACAAAATATTTGGAAATAGCATCATGGGGAAAGCTGACTAGAAGATAAAAGGGACTGTAGAAATGGGGATACCAAACAAAAGCTTCACTGTTTCAAAATCTTGGATATTTATTTTTGAAGACTTCACTAATGTTAATCGTTTCTTTTCAAATATTTGGGGTTAAACAGGTTCTTGTTAACTAGTATAAGGATATAGTCAACGGTATGAGATGACTTTCACGGTGTAATCATTCCAGTCAGTCGACATATGAAGGGTCTTCTGAAACCTAGCCAGTTCTCAGTGGGACTGCTGGTATACCTAGGTCACTTGGGGTATGTAGAAAGTCACTGCATATCATCATGGATATCTAGATGGTTTATTTCTTGGAATTGTAGATAATGTCTTCTAAGATCATTCCTTCAACAAAAGTGGATCATTCAGGTAAACTTTTATTACTTTTTTGAATGCATGAATTTTTTTGCAAGGTAATAGAATATTTGCATGGATTAAACTAAGACTCTTGCTGCACCAGCGAAATGGCTTCTTCTTTACAATAATTCTCAGCTGGCACAAGGACATTCCTGCATTCAACTGGAATTTCTGAACTGTTAAATGGTCGTGTGCTGGGCTGGCTCTTCTATGCATGGGGGTATCTGCAAGCTGCTCCTTCTAGGAAATGTACCATGCTCTGGAGTTAGTGGGTCATGTAACAGAAAGAAAAAAAAGCAGTACTTGAGAGGTTTGTTGTAGAATGGAGTACAATTCTTTATCTTTTCACTGCTCTTATGAATTACTGGATATGTCATGGTACATTGACAGAAGTCATAAAAGAGAAATTGTCGATTCCAAGCCTGCTTTTTGAGGACTTTTGTCTGCTTGAAATTTCAGCATCAGTCAAATAATAGTTCATTTCCCTAGCCCCTGGTTTTCAGACTTATAGAAATAATAAAAAATTTTTTTTTTTCCCCATTTTATTACTTTTAGGATTTGCGGACTTGGGATTGGCTTTTTTTTGGAACCCCGGCCTTGGTTCGAATTTTACTTTATTAGACTGTGAAGATCCAGAAAATTGGGTCACATATTTGGAATGGAGCTGGTCAAAGCCTTTAAAAACTGTGTGCTCTTGGAAGTTGTCAATGAAATAGAATGAATGTATCTTTGAAGGTTTTTTTGAGGATGTGTAGTTTTCTAAAAACATCAAGTACAAATTGTTCATTATTGAGATTTAAGCCAATAGAAAAATTCCCAACCGAAAACCAATGGCTAGTGAATTTGTGAACGGAAGGAAAGCATAGAATCAATCAGCTTGCTGAGAGCTGAATGGGGAGGGACCCTTATATAATGACCCCTGAGCCTTTTTCTCACCAATCCTGGGTCATCCCACCATGCTTCATTCTGCCCACTCTTCCCTTGTACCATCTGTTCTCTCTTGCTTCCTCTAGTGAGATGGACACAACATTTTTAATTTTAGCTTTCATTGTATTTGCTGTCTGCTCCAACACCAAGATCACAGTTGAACAATTTGAGTCATTTCCAAAGACAACAGATACAATAGCCATGGCTTTTGCCAATTATGGATGGATTTTTAATGTTAAGTCACATACTGGGTCCTGCATACTCAAAACATAAAACACGTGGAGTGAACATTCCATTTTGAGCCATGATTTCTAGACACAGTTTTTCATGATAGAATTTTTGCCTCTTCCACAGTAAATAGAGATGATACAGCTGCAGGAGACTGAGTACTTTGTAGAAGGTCATATTTGCTCATTCTCTGATGTGAAATCTCTGTAGTTGATTTTAAGATAGAATTTTTTTCCAAAATGTGTTGGGAGAGGGAGGAAGAGAGATACTTACAAGATACTCATAGGGTGCATGAAAATAGTCATGTATATTTATAGATAATAGTGTTTAACAGAGTTTCCAGTTTTCTTGCCTGGGGAATTCCATGGACAGAGGAGGGTGGCCAGCTACTGTCCTTGGGGTTGCAAAGAGTCAGACACGACTGAGCAGCTAACACATACACACACATGACAGAGTTTCAAGGCATTGGCTGAGCCAATTTTAGAAAGCTATGGGTCTAGGAAAATAACGTTTAATATGTGATACTGAGAAATTTAGGACAGAAATGTATTTAGCAATCACTTATTACTGTTAGTTACTGTGATCTTACTACTGCCAGCAATAATAACATTATTCTGAGACTGTAGCATAGTTAATGAAAACACATATTTAAAATATTTCTGATAAAGATAATTTTGGATTCTATAATTTAAAAATAATTCATAAAAGATGCCCTTTTTTCTATGTTGCAATCATTTCACAAGTTCTTTCCATGAGAAAATGTGTTCAAAATAGCTTTTATGTTTTTTATTCACTTTTCTTTTCCAAAATTCTTTAAATTATATTTCATTAAAAATTTTATTATGAAATGTCTAACACATATAAAAAGTAGAGAGGATAATATAATGAATCCCCTTGAGTCTATCAACTCATAGCCACCTACGCATTTTCCCCTTTCTGTATTACTGTGAAAACATATCATAGACATCATATTGTTTCTTCCACAGATATTTTGGCACTTTTTAATTCATTGTTATATAATCTGTCACTACTTTGTGCGAGCCATTTGCCATGTATATTTTTGCCTCAATTTTCTGATGACTCTATTCACTGGCTCTTTGAAAAATACCACTTAGAAGAACATTTCTTAAAACAAACCCCCACAAATTACTAGAAGGCATATTAACATTCATTCATATGCAGGAATTCACTTTGAAGATGAGAAACATGAAATTTTAGTGCTGCCTGCTACCAAAACTAAGAATCAGAGCTTTATTTCCTTTGTGATCTTCTTTTATGTGCAAAATAGAGCGTCCAAAATGGTAGCCCTCAGGCATATTACCAGCTCATCTTGCAGTCTAATTTCTTGTATAATTTCTTTCAGACAATGCTTCCATGGACAAGTCCTCATCAAAACTGACTCATGCTGATGGAGAACAAACATCGATCATTCCTGTCCATCAGGTCATTGATAAGGTCAAGGGTTATTGCAATGCTCATTCAGATAATTTCTATAAAAATATTATCATGTCAGACACTTTCAGCCACAGCACAAAGTTTTGATATCTTTAATATAAGAAAGAGGAATCAGTCTGCACAAACATGAAGATGTGCAAGCAGTCAAACTCTGACTAGCAGATGTAAACATGGTCTTACCTAGGTAACTGCATATATATGACCAATGTGTTTTGTGAAGAAGGCATTTGTGAAATTCACTATCTGTCTTTTCAGTGTGTTTCTTCCATGGGGGAGTTTCCACCATCACTAAAACTTCACTACTGAGAGCAACATGATTCAGTACCCACAGGGGATAGGGTTTTTTAAATATATAACTGAATTGACCAATCAGAACTTGGGCTGGGAGGTGAAATATTAAGGTTAGAGGACAAGGGACAGGCCAGGCTATGGACAAGTTTAGTTTAGAGTTTATTCACATTCCACCAAATAATTGGGTTTGGATATGGTCATTTGCTCCATCATCTTTCTCAACAAGCAAAAGCTTGTTGCGTCCGTACTAATAGGGACACTTCCCTGCTGATCCACTGGTGAGGACTTTGCCTTCCAGCGTGGGGGGTGAGGGTGGGGTGTGGATTCGATCCCTGGTCAGGGAGCTAAGATTCCACATGTCTTGCAGTCAAAACCCCAGAACATAAAACAGAAACAATATTGAAACAAATTCATTAAAGACTTTTAAAATAGTCCACATCCAAAAAATCTTTAAAAAAGCATACTAATATTTAAAACTATTTTGGATGCCCACAAGTCCCATCTCTGCTAGTTTCCATGAATGCAGTAGCATTTCCTCATTTTTTAACTACAGAGACAAAAGAATGATGTCTGACAAAGTTTAGAAAGGTGTATTTTCCATTATCTCAAATGTTTAACCATGAAGACCACAATGTGCCTAAGAAAGAATTTCCCAAATTTTGACCTAGTTAATATGAAGTCATGTTGTTTCATTTATCCTATTCAAGACTTAAGCATCATTATTAATTATAATTTAATCCTATACTTTTGAATCAAATTTAATGTTGGGGTTTCATTACAGTGGACCTCACAGTAGTTGAAGATGAACCTCTAACACCTCTATTTTTGATCCTCCACTGTATATAGAGCCTTGGGTTCATGGGAGGAATGGAATTTCCATTAGGCATGCTGTGTACAACAGTCTTGCCCTTTTGGGAAAAACAACTATTGAGACTCTATGGTCTTGTCATAGCTCCAGAGACTTTTAAGATATTTCCACTTGCACAAATGAAAAGCCTCTTACTTCCTCTTTCAAAAGTTTTGTTCCAAAGAATATAAACTGAGACTTAGGTGGTTGACTTATCATAATCAGAATAATATATAAACATGTGGGTCTACACTTGCCAGTCTGAAAACTGCTTGTATATAGGTCCTCTGATTATAAGAGCCAGAGGAGATCTGGCAAGATAGATGGGGTGTTATTTATGGATTAGGTTTCTGCATATAAGTCATGCATAATAGAAAGCAGCTTTTAGTCTAACTTTCAGACTATCCTGAGTAATGTGCTTGCTAGTGAATGTGTAGGAGACCGCATTTTAATTGTTCTTAAATGATGGACGAGTGTCCAGTTTCTTAGAAATTGGTCTCAACATGTGCTGTACCTTTACATTTGCTCTGGGTTATCTGAGACGTTTCAGGTTCTGGAAGCAACCTAAGTGATGAGAAGATGAGACATTCTGGCAGAACAAAACTGCTTAAAGGCAGAAGTCAGATTGAGCACTTGGGGCCCTTTCCCTCTGTGTGGGAAGCAGGTAGCCCTTAGTTTGAGACATAGGAAAGCTCTCAGACTGTGCAGCAACCCAGGGACGTCACCTTCCACTCATCCTCAGTCATGAAGGTCTTTGGCAGACCCAAACAGGTGATGATGTGGTATTGAGTTTTCATATCATTCCCATTTTGTAGCATCCCGGAACACTGTTCTGGGAGATAAAAGCATGGCTCAGTCTGGCCTTCCCAGGAGAGGGGTTGTGGACAGAAGGAAAAGATAGTAGATCTGAGGTCACTAAGATCCCCTACAGCAGAATCACATTGTTTTCCATAGGCATGTATGTTAACAGGCTGCTTATTTTGGCAGAGGTTGCATCTAGATGAAAGTTAACCTTAACTAGTCACTGAATCTTCATATACTCTCCTCCAAGCCTTAGAGATGATAGAATTTAATTAGCTTTCAACTGTGAGATTTCTACCCGAAGTGCTTATGTAGTTAAAAGTAATTAAAGTGAGAACTTTAAAAATATCTTTGATTTTTGCTCATATTCATGCAGATCTGGGAAAAATGTTCTTTTCATATTTGACAACAGTATCAGCTCCACTTTAGAAATTTCCAGTAATCAGGTAAGGATTAAAAAAAAAAAAATGGAGAAACAGCTGAATAGAAACATTTGCAAGTGGACTTGAGTTCTACACATGTAGTTCTTCATTTAGCCCCCTCAAAACAGAACTTCAGGAATTTAGCTCTGGAGCCAAAATTTAGTTTAGCCTATCTTTGAGAGTAATATCAACTTAGACTCTCTGGGGTTGGAAGAGAGTTGGAAAACAGTTTCAATTTTTGTTGTTTTTTTAATTTTCTTCCTTTTCCTTTTTTTAAACTACATCATGTTAGAGTCAGTCTAGGATCCTGAGATGTTTTCCAGTGTTGTCACCATGACTTGCATTGTAAAGCTTTGTTTGTTTAATGTTGGCATAGACTCTTTTGTACATATTTATTTATTTGTGTTTATAAATGTGAGCTTATTTTATATCTTACCTTTATATTGCCTGGCTTTGTTATTTTAATTAACTTTCTATCAGAGAGACTGTATATATTTTTTTCTAAATACTTTGTGAAATAGTTTTCTGTAGCAGTATCTCTGAATTTGATGAATAAAAAATGACTGTGAGTGCAGATTAGAATAAGTCGTAAAGAAGCTACTATAGCTGATTTGCCGTTTTACTTAAATGGAAAATGTTTTTCAAATAAATGCTTATGTTGTTTGTGATCCAAATTATTCAATTCCTTTATGAGTGACTGTTTTTATTTCTGCCTCTTAAATAGGAAAAAATTATTTGACAACTGGAAAATAACCTGCCACTAATTAAGCTAGTGACATGGAGTGACTTTGCCAAAACACTGAGAATGAATATTTTAGAAAGATCCAGTTCACTGGGGATTAATGCATTTTGAAGTTCTTAGATTTTCTTAAGATGACTGATGCAAAGCCAAGCTCTGTGGCAAATTAAAAGTAATGTAGGTTTCCTTTTTGGGAAGTCTTCAGCCTTCTGAAAAGGGAACCAAATCAATAATATGACATAGAAGTTAGATCTTAGGATTTTTTTTTTTTTCACATTTATAGTCACTGTTTTCTTTGAGGGAGGCTTAGAAAATGACAGGATTTAGCCAACTTGACTTGCATGATGAGAGCAGGACCTCCTCACTTCCTTTTGCTGTGATTATTTAGGATAACTCTCTTCTGCAGAGAGCCAAGGCCCAATTTGGCTCATGGCCCTACTTAGTGCTAAGTTGTGAGGCGTGTTGGCTGGTCACTGCTAACTCAGGTCTTCTGAGCCAACTTCACAACTCCTGGCCAAGCCATGTTAAGAAAACAGGCAAGCAGTTGGTGAAGCTTCATCTTCAGTCACATATAGCAGGTTGAAGCTAGGGGAGCAGCAGTGGGAAGTAGGTGGGAAACACTTACTGATTTTCAGGCCGATCTGTGTTTGTAGTGTTTTGAAATCTGAAGGAACTGGGCTTTGCAAACACAGTGTGTTGGAAGAATGCCTGTGTTTCCAGTTGAGTAACATTCTATTTTTCTCCTATAAAAGTACTGTCTCTCTCTCCCTCTCTCTGTCCCCCTCCCTCCCATTTCTGCCTCCCCCAATTTTCCTGCTTTTCTCACTTTTTCCCCTCTCTCTCTCTTCCTTCCCTCCCTCTTCATATCAAGGAAGAATACTTAACCGTTCTCTTTTTCTGCTTCCCTAGTGAAAAATGAGAGTAAACGTGAAGATGCACGGGTGGGGATGAGAATTACAGGGAGAAGGTTAGCCCTGGCAAAGAGAAGAGGCATATGGGGACTTCTCTGGTGATCCAGTGTTTAAGACTCTGTGCTTCCATCACAGCGGGTACGGGTTCAATCCCTGGTCGGGGAACTAAGATTGTGTATGCTGTGCTAAGACCCCCACATGCCTATGTGGCCCCCCAAAAAAAGAATAATAATAAGAGGCATAGCTTTCTTCTGAGGTTGAACTACAGGTTATTAGATGAGATAGGAGGTATAAAGGGACCGATAGTGAGTCAGTGTTGGATTTCCTAATTTTTATTAATTAAAATAATTAGAAGCTCTTTCATCTGCTGGGTGTTCTAAGGACAATAATATCAGGATGGGGATCTGAGTAAAATTAAAATGTGAAACAACCTTCAGGAATGCAGGTCCCTGGCTAAATTAAATTAAATAAACTAATACGTGGTGTTTGCCCTCAGAGTAGCTTTCACAAGTACATTCCCTAAATCATTGTATCTAAATATGTTTATTTGGTGTGTTTTGAAAAACTAGTTTATTTCAAGTTCACAACCAAATATTTGATATTCTAAACTCTCAAGTCTTTATTGACTTATCTCAAATATTTTTGAATAATTGGATGACAAATAATTGGAGACATACCCCAAAATCTTTTTTCATCTTTTAAGTTATATCTTCTGTTGGCTTATTTTCATCATGAATTGCTTTAAATGATGTTTATAAATTCAAGTTGTCAGTGAGAGTAAGATACTTGATATTCACATTAAATATAATTTAATAGAGATACATAGATCAAATGGTGTGAGAAAAATAACAAAGTAATAGCAAAATACAGATTTTTAAATACCCTAGGGGCAAAAGAAAGATCTAGAGCACCACCGTATTTTCCTGCTTCATCACCCTACAGTTCAAACAGTCAGTGGAGGATTTTAAATGACTTGTACATC